TAGTACCTTCAAGTAGTTGTTTTTTGTGTTATTTCCAGGCTTCATAATTGCTTTCTGTATGGGGTATGCCATCTGGTAGGGTCTTAGACTGCCATACCTGGAAGCAGAAGTGACTCCATGATGCTTACATTTCTATTGGGAGAGGTCAACAATAAATGAACCAACAAGGTGATTATAGTTTATGGTACATGCTGTGGAATAAATAAGGTTGATGAGATAGAAAGTAACATCTTTAAGTAGGTTTTGAGAAAGATGCTCTAAAAAACTTCTATTTGAGTTGAGACCTAAAGAACAAGAATTGGGTCATGCAGAAAGCTGGCTGAGAAATGTCTCAAGCAGAGGCAACAGATGTTGCTTGAGTGTCCCTTATCTGAAATGCTTGGGACCAGAAGTGTTTCAGATTTTGAATTTTTTCCAATTTTGGAATATTTGCATTATATTTAACCAGTTGAGCATCCCAAATCTGAAATGCTCCAATGAGCATTTCCTTTGAGTGTCATGTCAGTGCTCAAAAAGTTTCAGATTTTAGAGCATTTCAGAGTTAAGATGTTTGGATTTGGGATACTCAACTGTACCAAAGCTCTAGGTGGGGAAGAGGGGCCAACAGGACTGGAGCACAGTAAGGGAAGAAAAGAATAATGTGAAATGAGGTCGGAGAGGTGAGGAAGATCACGTAAAGCCTTGTAGACCCTGATTAGGAGTTGGGAATTATGATTGTGTATAAGAAAATCGATTACCACAGCTATAAGGGTATATTTACAAAACATATTTGACCACTCATATTGCTTTGACCTTAAAAGTCTTGACAGATGGGTAGTGTGGCCTTAGGATTATATAACCTACCTGTCAGCATTGTTGGAACAAAAGCTAGAAGACCATGCAGAATGGATTTCTGCCATGTATGGAGAGTTGAAGCAGACATATCCTAACATCTCTTCTACTACTGAGGTTCTTTCATATCATTGAAAAGAAAATAATTTGGCCTGCATGTAGAAAACTATGATGGTAATTAAAACTGTAGTTTAAAAACAGAAAGCACAGACGTAGAGAATGAAAAGACTACAGTAGAATGAAGAGTTGTAGTTCTGTGAAGCACAAGATTTCTCATGATTTCTGCATAAGAGCAGTTGTCTTCAGTTTGTAAATTGTACTGTGGTAAAGCAATGTGCTAGTTAGTGTACATTTATGGGTCTGATTTCCCTGGGGAGCATTTGGAACTCACTGGATCCTTTCCTTTGGTGCAGATGACAGCGCTTCTGCTGCAAGTAGCATGGAGGTAACAGACCGCATTGCCTCCCTGGAGCAGAGGGTCCAGATGCAAGAAGATGACATCCAACTGCTTAAATCAGCCCTAGCTGATGTGGTTCGGCGGCTGAATATCACGGAGGAACAGCAGGCCGTGCTGAACAGGAAAGGACCTACCAAAGGTGGGCATGTTAGATATACAGGCACAGCAGTAGAATGGGTCTCACTGAAGATTCTTGCTCTAGCAAATGCATATACCACTCTAATTTTGACAGAGGATCAAAACTTAGCATAACAATAAAGCTGTCTTAACATTGTCAAAATAATCACGCAAAGTGTGACAATATTTTTTTGGTTCAGTGTTGGTGAATTGTATAGCGTACTGGTATGCATTTGTAGGTGACCATAAAATGCTTGTTGATTCCAAGAAGGAACCATGCAGGTGGACCATCAAGAACAATTGTTTATAGGGCTGGCCCCATGGCTCACTTGGGAGAGTGTGGTACTCATAGCACCGAGGCCACGGGTTCGGATCCTATATAGGGATGGCCGGTGTGCTCACTGGCTGAGCGTGGTGCAGACCACACCGTGCTGAGGGCTGCAATCCCCTTACCAGTTAAAATAAATAAATTTTAAAAATTTTTTTAAAAAAAGGAACAATTGCGAGATTTTCTGGGACAGAGAGAGCTGGCTTCATCGAGATTTTCTGGGACAGAGAGAGCTGGCAAAAAGCCCACGATCCTCTGGGCCCCTGTTGGAGGCTATTCTACCTGGAAACTTTTTTGGTAATTCTCATCTCTTTCTGTGTGCTCAGCTTGTATTGTCATTCGTTTCAGCATAGCAAACACTTAATTGATCATATGCCACATGCAAGGCTCTGAGCCACGGACTGGGGGTGCAGTGGTAGTGGCCCTTCCTTTGATGAGCTCAAAATCCTAAAGTTATCACTAACTTTTCACCCCTTCCGGTGGGTAAGCTTCTTCTGGGCAAAGCCTCCTGTTTCTTCTGAATCTGCTTTGCTCTCCACGAGGACATAGGCTACTACAGAGATCTATAGCTAATGGATTTCTGGCAAATCTAAGTCATCATTTCATGTACCTATGGCTCCTGGAAATGAGACATAAAAAAGCAACATTTGTGTAAAATAACTTTGTAGTGACCATGTATTAGTCTGTTTTCTCTTGCTTATAACACAACACCTGAAACTAGGTAATTTATAAAGAAATAAAATTTATTTCTTACAGTGTCAGAGCCTGGCAAGTCCCAAGTCCAGGGAACACATCTGGTGAGGGTCTTTTTGTGGGTGGTGACTCTAACGATGCAGGGTGTCACATGGCGAATGGACTGAGCAAGAGAGAGCTACCCGCCTCACTTGCTCTCCTTTTAAAGCCATCAGACCCATGCCTGTGACCACCCATTAAACCGTCAGATTATTACTCCGTGAGTGGATCGATCCATCCACTAGGGCATGGTCCGCATAATCTACTCACTTCTTGAAGGCCCCACCTCTCAATTACCATAATAGGATTTCCTGCCTTCTTAACACTGTCACAGTGGGGATTAAATTCAACGAGTTTTGGGGGGGACATTCAATCCACAGCACCATCTTCTTAAAATTTTGGAAATAAAGCATCTCATAAGCATTTCTGTCCCACTGATACCACACTGTCTACTTTTAACTGGAGTCCATTGCTCCTCTTTTCCCAGAATTTCTTTTCCTGTGGCTATCTCTAGAAAAGAGAGTCCATTTTGGCTGTAAAATTCCTCTGGTTAAAACATTTTGAGATTGCAGCATGCAAATATCCCTTTAAAAATACATTTTTTTTTTTGGTTTGGATTTAACAAGTTATTTCACAATTGATGTATTTCCCTTGGGGTCAGGAGACAGGACTGTCCAACATTGCATCTTTTAGTTTTTTCTCAAGTACTTGGCTACATTTTCACACATCTGTGGAAAGAAATCTATTCTTTGTTCTTCAGGGTAGTTATCACCAGCTCCACGTGAAATACACGTGCTGGGCTGATGTCTACGTTTTGAATAATCCTTTTAAACAATCTTTTTTTCTTCTTCCAAGTTACAAAGTGATTAGGGTATTTTAAATAGAAACAGGTTATTTTAGGTATTCTTGACCTACTCAGCTTTCCAAAAATAAATCTGATGACTATTGTATCCTAAAGGCCACATTTGAAGTAGTTGCTTTATATAAAACTTCAGGCTTCTGAAACATCTTTATTTTTAGAAAATCAGGGAAGAAATAATACAAAAGGCTTGCCTTATTTTCTTGATTAAGAGTGAAGTTTGATTTTTATAAAACTTGTAGGAGAAATAATTTTTTTCATAGTTATTTGATGTTTCTTTATAACATTTTTTTCATAAGTGAGAATAAATCAAAGAGTGATAGTCAGAAGGTCTCACCAAGAAACAGAAGATCACGAGGAAGCTGGGGAGTCGCGTGGTATCCCCTGAGTGGAGCAGGCCATGGTTCCCCCAGTTTATGTTCTGCTCGTTATAGGATGGTGGGAGGGGAGGCAGGGGACTGTGACCTGCATCAGCAGCTCTGGTGGCTGCTTCTCTGGCAGAGAGTTACTGTGTTGGTGCTGACGTCTGCACCTCTGCCTGGATGGCTGCACTCTGTAGTCAGGGTTTGGTTGGGGGATCTTTTAGGAAAGATGGATTCTAGGCAAATCTCCTTTGGTTTGTAAGAGGACACATCATCATCATCTGATGAGTTTACTTAGATAGATGGGCTTGGTCGGAAGAAGATGGATTCTAGGCAAATCTCCTTTGGTTTGTAAGAGGACACATCATCATCATCATCGTCATTATTATTACTCTACAATATTTTGGCTTGCTATTTCAGTACAGACTTGAAGTAGACTGGACACATGTCATTCGAATTTTTAAATATTAAGTGATTTTTCCCCCAAGATTGGTAGTCAGAAGCTTAGGGCTGAGTGTTTGGAGCTTCAGGTGTACATCTTTGTGCTGTTTGCCCAGTGACAGGGATGCCTGTGCTGAAAGAAGCAGGCTGCTTAGGGAGGCAGTGAGTATTCCGTGCTCAGTGTGGCTCAGCTCAAAGTAGATGCCGCAGAGTGTTGTGTCATTGTGCTACAGCTGTCCCTAACTGTTGGACTGCAATTAACCCTCACTAGTCTCAGTATTGCGTATGGGGCCATAGCTAATCATTCTAATTCCTTTTCACAGCAGTACTTCACTTATTTGAAAAAAGTTATCATGACCTCTAAGCTTTGACTGACTTTAGCATTCTTCATGTGACTTAACTAGTATAACAATGAGACCTGCAGTTTCATGAAGGTACTTCACTAAAAGACTAAGTTCAAGGCTTCCTGAGACAGGGGAAAGATTGTGGACAGCCTCATAATGTGCTGAGCCTGTGGATATATGGGTATAGCCTAGTTAGACGGAGCTATATCTCAGACTCTACTTTCTCTTGGCAGCATTTTCCTGTCCTTGAGATAGGCCTGCTTGTACTAATTATCCGATTTTTCTTTACCCAGTGGATACTGCCTTGGGTCTTAGGACTTACTCAGTCTCTACATAAGCTCCCCAGCTTTGCTTTCTCCTTTTCCTTTGGTGTAGTTGTTATAGTCTTGTGGGACCATCGTCATATATGTGGTCTTCTGCTGACTGAAACATCATTATGTGGCCCATGACTGTGGTTTATAGAGGCACATATTCTTAAAATTCTTGCTAATACTAGAGTATTTTCAGAGTTGTGATTGGAGTGGGGCAGTACTCACTGCTAGCAGAATACAGTGGACACACCCCCTTAGATTGCTGTTGTGAGTGTAGATACAGAAAAACGCGTGATGGGCAAGGAGCCTAGTGCAGCATTACACGTAGTGGACAGGAAACAGTAAGGACACAGCAAGCGGGAGGGACATGGCCAGAAAATTGTGGTGCCTCTGTATGATTAAGTGCTGTTTAATCTTTAAAAATGTTTGTATTATTGGTGACAAGAAGGAAAATGCTTATGCATTACATTAAGAGTCAAAAGCAGGACATAAAACCATATATACTATATCATTTCAAGTAAATAGACAAAATTTATGCAACGAAGAATGGAATAAATTATACCAAAATTATTAGTGGGTTTTTCCTGAGTGATGGGGATTATGACTTTTTTCTTTTTTATACTTTGTTTCTAAATGTTGCGTGTACTCCTCAATAAGCAGAAGAAATTTATGTTTTAAAAATCACCTCTTTCTTACCATTGAATCTGAAGTCAGTAGCAGGGCTCTTGGCAAATGTTCGGAGACTTGGGTTTGCTCACATGCATTCTCAAGAAGACAAGGGATCATGGGTTGGAGTTCAACTAATAATAGATCCATTGTATACATGCACTGCCAGTTTCCATCTCAGTGTGGAACATACATTTTTAGCATGGAATGTAGATTAAAATATAGTCATTATTCCATGTATCTGGGATTATCAATTTTGTTATGCATTGACCAACAAGTAGTTCATATTTCTTACTTTAAATTTTGCTGTTTGTTCAGACTGTCGTTAGGTAGCTGGCCTTTTTAAATATTTTAATATGCCTTTTGCAAACTTTTTTTTATCAGTTATATCAACGAGTGGACCCACTAATTAATAAGAGAATTATATTAATTAATATATCAGAGAATTACTAAGTATAACCAAAAAGCTTCTGTTGGAAAGGTTAATAAGCAAGTCAGTCCTGTCATTCCAAGACATTGAAACCCTCTAGCCTCAGAACTGAGCCTCTGCAACCACTGTCAAGGGCAGACCACAGACCGTGTATGAGCAACCTGTGCTACATTAACCCTTAACACTGACGTTCAAGATAATGCCCATAGCTTTCACTTATTGATTGCTGAGTGCTAGACTCTGCAGTAGATATTTTGATGTATTAGCTCATTTCACTTCACAATTTTGTGAGGCAGGTATTATTATGCCCATTTTATAGATGAGAAAGCAGCCTCTAGGAGATGCAATAATTTGCCCCAGGTTACACAGCTAGCCAGCTGGGGACAAACATGGGATCAGACCCAAGCCCTGGCTGAACTTGTATTCTTTCTGCTATCCATGTCACTTCGCTAAGCACACCTCTTAGCAATATTACTTAAATTAGCATTATTCAAATCAAACCAAATATTTAAGAAATGAATAACTGTGCAGCTGGAAATGAGAGTTGTC